CAAACATGCCATCCAGCCAGCCACTCTCGCCAAGAACCGCATGCATCTGGCTGTCTGTCCCTCTGTCTGTCTGTATCCACATGTAATTATGTCTGAGCAGGAGCCGACATTGGCGAGTCTCCATTGGGAGGGGGGCATGTACCACGGCAATGTCCGCAACAAGATGCCACACGGCGAGGGCACTCTGCGCACGATGGACGGCCAGGACTCACTCTACGAGGGCCACTGGGCGGACGGCAAACGACACGGCAAAGGCAAGGAATACGCACCGTGCCAGGTGTACAACCAGCAGCAGCGCCAACTGATCCAGACCAAGATGTGTCTCGTCTATGAGGGCGACTTTGTGGAAGGCAAGCGAGAGGGACAAAAGGGCACCGAATACAAAGCCCTCGACGGGAGAATGGTGAAGCTCTATGAGGGCGAATGGAAAGACAACAGACGGCACCGCCAGGGGAAGGCATACTACTGGTGGGGTGGTTCTGTGTTGTGGTTTGATGGCGAATGGCGAGAGGGCCTGGCCAAGAGCGGCACGCTCTTCCCTGACGGCACCGCGAGTGGATGGAAGAAGGCTGACGGCAGCACTAAGTATCCTGTCAAGCCCATTCGATGGCAGGCCGGACAGAAGATACCGAACCGCAACGTGCCTGGGTATGGCGAACCATTGCATCAGTTGCTGGAGGATCAGGACGTGTCGGGGTATTTCCCTGCTGGTGCCCTGTGATAGTGAGGGTGCCTCGCGTGGCTGGCTGGCTGGCTGGCTGTATGTGATGTCAATCTGTGACCTGTGTGTGACTGATTGATTGAACGATTGATTGGGTGACTGTACGAGGAAGTGACTGCTGTTTTTTGTGCTTCTGCTGTCTCTCCTCAGGCTGGCTGGCTGTGTTTTCGGATGGCTGCAAGTGGCTCGATTGCACTACGTATCACGTTGCTGCCTGCTGTCTGCTTTTGTGTTTGCAGTTTCTCGATGAGCGTCCATGGAGTCGGTTAGTGTGACACTTGGACCTTTAGGGTTTAGGTGAAGGCCGTCACTGCGAAATGCGACGGTTCTCACCGCATCACAAGATTGAAAACACCCACGGATGCATGCAGGTCACACACAACGGTCTCAATCGCATTGCGTTTCCCTGCTGGTGCACTAGGGTAGGGAGTGTGTCTAGGGAGTATGTCTCTATTGTCTGTCTGTCTGTCTGTCTGTCTGTGCGTGATACGTGTATTGCCCTCTCTTTTTCTTTCCTCAGCAGCTGCCTGGCTGCCCATTGATGCGGTCTTAGTGCCTCTGTGGTCTGGGCGTGTTGCTGTCTTGGCTGCCTGTGTTCCCCATTGAGGTGCCTGCTTTGGATGTCTCGTGGCCTCACACACTGCTCACTGGCTCGAGGTGGATCTGTTGGGGCTCCTGGCCTTCTCTCTGGCTGTCTGGTCGATGTCTGTCTTGGGGTGTGACTTGGGAAGTGTGTGTCTGTAGCACACTGACTGACTGAGGACGGTCTGCTTGATGTGTTAAATTGCTCAAGCGACAATTGATTCGCTTACATGAGCGACTCCTTTGTGAGCCCATGGGGATGGCCGCATGTGTGCATTCATCGTATAAAGCTCTTTCGGTCTTTGCACACACCAGGCAGGCAGGCAGGCAGGCAAGCTGGCTGGACGAGTCATCACTGCCCTCACACACGCACAGATGTTTTCAGATAGCTCGGCCTATTTGCACGCGCAAATCGACTCGTACACGCAGCGATAGTGCACCAGCGGCTTGTCTATGGCACAGGCGACGAGCGAGAGGGGGAGATACGGAAACAGGTAAGGCTGGTTTTGAAAATGAAAGACAGGCAGGCGTACTCGCATGGATAAATCAATCAATGAAGGAATCGATCAACCGTTACAAATCCATTTCACCACCACACACCCAGCCAGCCGTCTACCTGCTATGTGCCGCTGTGCGCCTCCCTCACCCCATTCCACCAGCCTCAGTCCATTGCATTCCATTCACTCACACAAAGACACAAAAACGGTCCTCATCAATGCGGGCAGGTTTGCACACGCAGTCACACAAAAGGTTTTGCGTCACTGCAGCTGCGCCACCTCTCTCTTGAAGCAGGTGGCGCAGCTGAGGTTGCTCAGCCGCTGCCAGGTTTCTATGCGTAGGTCCGTCTTCCTCTGCCGTGCACGAGTGGAACACAACTGATGATTCAGGAGAGCCAATCACAGCAACTTATAGGGTCCGTCTTTACACAGAATATTGAACACAAAGGACCTTCTAAGACACACACATGCACCCAATTCCCCAGCTTCCATACATGCTGTCAAGAGAGAGCTGTCGCACACAGAGCCAGACACCAACACACAAGCAGCCAACAATGGCACCAACACACACACATTTATCAATGGACAGCCACGCAGAAATAAGAAAATACAAGGAAAGATTGCAAAGACACAGATCCACAGACACAGCCAGTGGGCCAGCCGCAGGAGACCCACTCACTACCCGAGTGCAGCAGCAGGGAGATACGCCGACACCCCCCGACACTGCAGCCACTGATGCAAGTGCACTCCTGGCACGATTTTGGGCACCCCCTCTCCCTCCCGCCATCGAATGGGCGTGATGGGGCCCTTAGGGGTGCCGTCAGCGTGCTTCCCTCCATAGTAAGTGCCGTCAGGGAAAAGCATGCCGCTGTTGGCCAGACCCTCTCGCCATTCGCCATCGAACCACAACACAGGACCGTCGTACTGGTAGTAGGCCTGCCCCTGTCCCTCTCGCTTGCCGACTTGCCAATCGCCCTCGTACACGAGACACATCTTGGTCCCCATTTGGCCGCCTTGCTGGTCAAGTACCTGGCATGTCGCGTATTCCTTGCCTTTGCCGTGTCTCTTGCCGTCCGCCCATTGGCCTTCGTAGAGTGAGTTCTGGCCGTCGAGTGTGCGCAGAGTGCCCTCGTCGTGTGGCATCTTGTTGCGGACATTGCCGTGGTACATGCCGCCCTCCCAATGGAGACTCGCCAACGAGGGCTCCTGATCGAAGGCCTTCAGCTTCGCCTCGGCCTACAGACAAACACCCACACACACATGTTGCCACATTTCTGTGCGCAAACATGCAGTCATGAATTCCTGCCTCATCATTTCGGCGCTTCCAGTGGCTGGCGGCCTCCTTCCATTCATCCCTCTCCCTCCGGCATGCGTCCCGCTCCCTCGTGCGGTCGTCTCGCTCTCTTTTGTACTCATCACGCTGTGCCTCCAGCTCTTCAATGCGCCTGTCATATTGCCGCCGCTCTCCGTCGGTCGAACGACGCAGGTGACAATGGTGTTGTTGTCATCTTGGTACCGTCCATAATGTTCTGGAGCATCTCTGCCGAAATGGTGTGGCTTGACGCGGCTTCAGACATTGCGGCCTCAGTCAGCTGCAGAGATCGATGGCCGAGTGACTAAGTGAGCTGGTTCGCTTGCAACCGATAGGGGCGCAGCTGAGTGTGGCAGGGACGGAGAGAGCGACGCGTAAGGATGGACAAGTGACTCACGTGC